CTGCCGAATGACGCACACCCGCCCCTATTTATCGGGTAACAGAAACACACAGTCCCCGCCCACCCCAACCAACGTGTCCATCCGCCTCACAAAGTAGTCCCCGTGAAAACACCGCTGTTATGGAAAATACTCGCCTCCTTTCCGCTCCAATCTCTCTTCCAGGCAAAAAGGGGGTCCCGGAGTCTCAGTGAGGGGGCTCAGACCCATAAAAATCCATAAATTTCTGAGGGTGCGGATGGATCTGGAAGCGTCCTCCCCCCAGGCGCTGCAGTGAGACGACCGTAGGGCGACCGGGAAGTCCGTCGGTGATTGGTGCGGAGTGACGCAGGGCGGGCGCTGATTGGCTGACGCGAAGGGCAGTTGGTGAGGGGCGGGGGCGACTGTTGCAGGGAAAGCTCTCGAAGCTTCGGCGCCGCTTGGCGCTGATTGGTGCGCGGTGAGGTCACGCTGTTGCTAAGGGGGCGCCGCCTGGCGGGGCAGATTTCGGGGACTGGCGGGGGGGAGAGGGGGGCTCAGGAGGAGGGGAAGCCCGGACTCTGAAGGGACAGAGATGGGGACAGGGGTTGTAATTGTATGGCACTGTGGCTTTTTAACCCCAGCAGTGCTCAAGGAAGAGCCTGAGCTCTGGACTTGAGCAAAGGTGCCCCCAAAAAAGGGGGGGCGAGCCTTGGTGCCAGCGATTTGTGACCCCCAGCGCCTCTGCCCGACCCCTTCCCTGAGGCGGCTGAGAATTCACGGGAAAGCCCAGAACAGTCTGTAGGGCTGGTCCTGTCCTATGAGGCTGAGAGGAAAAGCTGGGGAAAGCAGGACTGAGTTGGCAAAGCTGGTGAAATACATAATTTAGGAGTTTGGGGAGCGCTGGAGGCTCCCGGTGCATCACACGAGTGGCCCCAGTCACGCGGCCCAGCTCCTGAGCTGCCCTTGGAACTGGCTGGAACCGGGCTGACCGGTTAATTCTCTAATGTGAGCCTGCAAAACAAGCCCCGTGATGAAATGCTGACATTTGTAATTCAAATGCTTGTTTACTCGCCTCCAGAACAGGAAGCTTTGATCAGTTATGGAGCAGCTTCCTTCTGTGAGCTGATTTGGAAATGTGCCCCAGGTTAATTAAGCTTCATCATCCCTTTCAGTCTGTCTCTTAACTCATTTTATGTCATATTAAAGCTGGATACGCAAAATCCAAGAAGGTTTTAATGTGTTTTTTAGCAGCTTTACCTGCTGCTCCTTCAGTGAAGGCAGATGACCTTGTTCAATCCTCCCCTCACAAAGCATCAGCACTTGTGTGACTGGCAAGATTCAGCACAGAGCTGCTCTATTTCCCCCTAAAAAAACCCCTCAAACCTAGACAAAAATACAAACTCACCAAAAAACCTCAACAAAAACAAAACCCTTTTGCTTTCCTTTCTCCTAACAGGGTTTCTAGAACCTCCTGGTTTACAGTAAAAAGGAAATAAATCATCCTACCAGTAATTATTTGCACTGTAGAAACAGGAAGAGGGAAAAATGGTAACTGGAATGTTCAGAAACAGCTCCATGGCAATAGCCAACCTTGGAAATATTATTTGGCTGCATAAATTTAGGGCAAAAGGCAGAGTTGGGCAATTTCCCATTTGTATGCTTTGTGCTGCCAGTTTTGCTCAGTTTTTCCACCAGGCTGGTTTGGTTTGGTGGTGCCAGGAGGACTGAATGTTTGCTCCAAGGCTGGCCTGGGCATGCTGTACATCCCAGGCTCTGCTCCAGGGACAGATTCTGCCATGGAGTCTGGAGAGGACACGAGGAACTAATATTTACAAATGTGAAATGCCACGTCTGTAAAGCTGGAGATGAACCACAGGCAGTGGTAAAGCCTGGGCAGTGTTTGAGCACAACAGACTTGTATTAAGGATTTCACTGTGCATGTCTCTCTTTTTAATGTCCTTGTAGGTAGAGAAGAAGAAATTTCTGTCAGTTTTTCCTTTCTGTATAAACCAAAAAGCAGAGGAGCCTTCCCTTGTGGTTTGTTTTTGTTCCTAAGAATGGCTAAATCCTATGGTGTGGGAACTGCTGTGCTTGTACAAAGCACATGTATTTAACAAACATTCCACTCTTCCTCCAGTAGCTCTTGGTGAATAAAAGTCATCAAGCAGCTGACTCTGAACTGTATATAAATAAATGCAAAGCTGATAAAACCCAGAAATCTGTATCTTGTGACTGGCCTGGCTGCACAGGTGGCTCCAGCCTTCGCCAGGGCATGGGGCCTGCAGTTGGGAACACATATTTCTTTCCAAGTGGTTTCAAAAGTAGGTCACTGGGCAGTAGTACAAAGCAACCTACTTTCAGGAGAAGAATCTGGGGTCAGGGAAATGTTTCCAACGAATCTGTACATTCTGGAACACAAGCTGGGGCTGCTTTTCATGTAGGCTAATGTCCTAGCAACGAGGGATCATTTTTCCATGAGCACTGTGGACTGAAGCAAGCTGTTTATCTTTAGTTACAGGGTTTAGCTTGGGACAGCCAGTCAGGCCTTCTGAGGGTGTGTAGCAAGTCCAGTTACTGTTCTTTGTTCAGACAAAAATAGGGCTACGTGCCACAGGGAAAAAACCAAAATATATAAACTATATATATATATATATCCTTATCTCATAACATTACTCACACCTACCTCAGATCTCTCTCACTGTGTATAACACTGGATAATTATATTTACTTATTTACGGTTGTGGAGATAAATATATTCTCCCCAAGCCTGTAACACTGCAATAAGACCCAGACTTTGCTCAAGTTCCACCCACGAGACAAACAAACTCGTGGCATGTTACTGCTTGTCCCTGTGCTGCCAAGTTCAAGGGTTACAAAAATAGTGAGTCATAATTCTAAGTACTGTGAGATTGACTGTAATATTATGAGATTACCAAAAAAAGACAACTCTCTGAGTTTTGTTTGTAAAGCCTTGTGCTAAAAAAACCTTCAATAAACAAAGGTTTTAATAAGCTTCCGACTTCAGGAACTGAAAGCTTAAGAAAAACAAATAGATTGGTAGTAAAAAGAGGAAAATGAGGGATACTCCTCTGTCTCCCTGTTTGTTTAAAGAATATTTTAACTTTGCAGGACACATGGGATTCAGCTGTAAGATCTGTGCTGTCCTGATAAACAGGCTTGGGCACGTCTCTCTCTGCAGGTCTGAATGACCCAGAGGAACATGTGCCAGTTCACTCTGCTCTGATGGAAGGAGACTTAGAGAAGGCATTTTATAAAAGCCACCATTGGGCTAAAATCACAGGCTTGTGTCTGCATGTTGTGCCAGTGAAAGCAACAGCTAATAACTAGGTCTATTCTAAAAATTACTTGTCTGCATGTCTCCAGTCTGCCTCCTGCCCGTGAGTGTTTTGGATCTGATCCAAGCTGCAGTGCAGGGAGGGAGCTCTTTGTTCACGTCCTCTCTGCTGCCTCGGAGCCCTTTGAGGTTGTGGTTTCTGGGGTGAGGAATTTCAGCGGGATAGCAAAGAAGCACCTTGAAAAACAGACAGACAGACAGACAGAAATAAGTCCTAAAATGCTGTTAATCATTGTTGATATGTTCAATAGAACCCCTGTGACAGGGAACAAAACCAAACACTGCCAAGGCTGTTCTGACCAGGCTTTATCCATTGGTCCAGGGGTGATACCTCCTGCACTTTGTTTTCAGATCCAGCTCGGATCCCTTGATGGTGAGGAGAATGTCCAGAATGCTTCCCCTTCTACCAGAAGACTAAAATCCAAGCACTGACATTTTTCTCCTCTGAACAAACCACGTAGTTTTAACAACCTGTTTTTTTCGGTATGGTGTCAGCTACACACAACTCCTAGTCCTCTCTGCTTATTAGATAAAAAACATCACACTTCCTAATTCCCCTTCACCCACAAACATGTAGCTGCTTTCAGTGTTGCTTTGGGGATGAAAATGCTCCTACAGACAGAACTTCAATGTGGGCTGTGAGCCAGAGCTGCAGAGCTGAGTCATTGTTATACAAGCAGAGATGAGATGGCACAGAAAAACCCCTTTGTACTTTAACACTGGAACACGTCAACTGTTGTTGAGTATCACAAGCCACCTACACAGAGAACCAACTGTCATTTACTGGACTTTTCCTCTTGTCTATCCCATCATCTGTCTGGATAATTCTTCCTTCTCCATTTTGCTTCACAAGCTTAAGAGCAAATACATTTTTCATCAAGCTATTGGCCACTGCTAAAGTCTGGCAAACATTGCATCAGCTTTGGAATAATGAAATGAAAGCTGTTAACTCTCTGGACAGTAGGAAGCACCTGCTGCCCAGGTACACTGACCATACTGTGTGTGATCATTGAAATTTAGGGCTTTCAACTCAGAATACCTGTGAAATTTGTCATCGTCCGGAGCTCCACTGTAAAGCTCTTGAACTGATTATTTATGTGAGAGCCAATTTTGAGCTCTGAGGATACTCTGTAATAAAATAAGGAACAAACGAAAAAGGAGGAAGAATTTCTTCACTGTGGCCTTAGGAAACCAAACTGCATTTTGTTCTTCCATTTTTGTCTTCCAGTTCTTTATCCTGAAACATCACAGGGGAACAGAATTTAGCTTGTCAAAACGCCTTCTACATTTAAAATAAGCTGAATTAATTGTGGAGGGGCACAGAGAGTGACAGATTTGCAGATATTACAAGGACTGCAAACTCAGTAGAACTGAGTAGGAACTGCTTTTTGAACATGTACAAGTGCAAGTGGCTCCTGTCTTAAAGAGAGAAGGTAATTTCTGTGAACTGATCACTAACAAGCTCCTAAAATATGTTCTGGATTTCAGTGTAGAGCAGTTCAGTGGTTTTAGGACAGGACAGACCATGTGGGCTGAAACCTGTGCCTGCTGCTGGCTGTCTCTGTGCCAAAGGGAAACGAACCCCTGCTGCAACCTGCACAGGCTCAGTTTCAGTGCGTTTCCAGTTTCATCTCAGCGACTTTTTCCTCCCAAAATATAAGGTGACTAACACGAAATCTAGTGTGACTAAAGGTCTGGGAGTGGCTCAGATCAGGAGCTGCAGATGAACACGCTGGCATGGGTCAGAATTTGTCACACAGGGTGTATTAAAATGGTTCCATTAGAATGAGTAACCAGTGCAGAGGTTCAGAGGGATAACAGGAAATTGCAACTCGGTGCCCTTTCCTATCATCGGAGAAGTGCTGAGCCACAGGATTGTTATGCAAATCCTGGCATGTGCCATCTCAGGAGGCAGCCTGCACACTGTGGTAGCATGTTTTTAAAGCTCTTTTCCAGACCAGAGAGTGCTGATAGATGTTTCATTCATCATTGTCCTGTTGCTTTGACATATTCCTGGCTGAGACCTGACCTTCTGCCTCTCCACAAACCATCAGCTCAGTTGTTTACATCTTTCCCCGTTCCCCTTCTTGGAAAGGGCAAGACATTAAGTCCTGTTGAATACAACTCCTTGATTAGAAGTCAAACAAAATAAACGTCCACTCCTGCAACACGGGACACAAAGTTCATCCTTGGAGTGATTTTTTCCCCCCCAACCAAATGTGACTTGGACACCTCCAAAATTTGGACTTTTCCCTGCATTGAATAGTTTTACTTGAAAAACAGCATTGGCTTTCAGATGTTCAGGAATAGCTTTTTGTGAGATATTTACCACTAGTGGAGTGATTTCACATTTTCCTAAGTTTTTTTCTTTGTTGGTTTGATTTGGGCTTTTGATTATTTGTTTTTTTGGTTGGTTTTGGTTTGGTTGTTTTTTGTTTTTCAAGGTATGTACTTTCTGGATTGTTTTCCTTTTTAAGACTTTCATTACTGAATTTGTTAAAAACTGTCCAGTGGGAATCCTGTTAGAAGCCATTTCTCTACAGAGGCTGCCACAATGACTTCAAAGGACTAAACACTCTTCCAAAGGCACATCCCGATCCCAGGCCTGTTGTCACACAGTGATCTTGTGTCTAAATGAGGGTTGTGCATAGCAGAGATGCGAAACAACAGCAGCCCCTCAGGTCTGCAGAGCACCTTCACATCCTTGAACAGGTGAGGCATCATATGTTCAGAATGAGAAGGAAAACCTCGGGCTCATGCTTGTGGATAATTGGTATGCCTGGCCTAGGCAGGGATTGAGGTGGGAGAAGTGAGCCCTCTGTCCCTCGGGACACACCATGAACAACTCAGGTCTTGAACCTCCTGTGACTTCCAACTTTGCTTGCTCACAGTGCCCACCTGCCCTGCTGTGCCTGAGACCCTGGAATCTTGGAATCATAGAATTGTTAAGGTTGGAAAAAACCTTTAAGATCATCAAGTCCAACCAGTCCCCAAGCACTGCCACGTCTGCCACTGAACTATGTCCCCAAGTGCCACATCCAGTCGTTTCTTGAACATTTCCAGGGACGGTGACTCAACCACTTCCTTGGGCAGCCTGTTCCAGTGCCTGAACACCCTTTCAATTAACAATTGTTTTCCTAACATACAACTTAAACCTCCTCTGGTGCAACTTCAGACCCTTTCCTCTCATCCTTTCTTGTTCCCTGGGAGCACAGCCCGACTGTCCCCCCCCTGCTCCACCCTCCTTTCAGAGAGTGGTAGAGAGCAATCAGGACCCCCCGAGCCTCCTTTCCTGCAGGCTGAGCCCTCCCAGCTCCCTCAGCCGCTCCTCTTGTGCTGCAGCCCCTTCCCCAGCTCCCTGGACACACTCCAGCGCCTCAATGTTCCTTCTTGTCGTCAGGGCCCCAAAACCGAACCCAGGATTCGAGGTGCGGCCTCACCAGCGCCGAGTACAGGGCAGTCAATCACTACTATGCTCTTGCTGGCCACGCTATTGCCAATATAAGCCAGGACGCCTTTGGCCTCGTTGGCCCCCTGGGCACACACCGCCCCTTGGCGACCCAGCTCCGCCCCCCTGTCCCGCCGTGTCCCAGCCCCTTCCCGTCCCCGTTCCCGTCCCCGCTCCCGCCGTGTCCGCGCGCTCCGGGCGAGCTCTCCCCGGCACCGGCGGCGGCGCGGCGGCGCCCCCTGGCGGATGGGTCGGCGCATGGGGCGCTGCCGTCAGGGCGGCGCGGCCGCGGGCGGGACCCGCCGGGCCCGGGGCAGGAGCGCGGGGGGATCCTCGCCCAGAGTGAAGGCTGAGCCCCCCTGGTCCCCCGGCCCCTTCGATCTGGGGGCGCAGAGCGGGCGCTGGGCCGCCTTCCAGAAGCGGCACGGGCTGAGCTGCGAGGAGGCGGCGCGGCTGCTGCTGGACGCGTAGTGAGTAGCGGGGCCGCGCTCCGGCCCCGGCCCGCGGGAGCATCGTTCTCCCGGCCGCACCCGCACAGCGGTGCGCGGGCTTCGGGGGACCCGGGGGGATCCGGGGGGCGGGGAGGGGGCGCAGGCACCACGCAGAAAGTTGCTTTTTCTGCTAAAGCTTCCCCTGTTTTACGGCTCTCCAGGCAAAAATGCCCTTGGGGGGCACCGCGAGGCTCAGCCTCCAAATCCCCACCCAGTTCCCTGTGCCCGCTCTTTGCAGAGCGCTGCACATCATCGCCGCGCTGTAATCAGTTAAGTGTCCGTGGCGGGGAAAATCTGAAAGGAAAATGTTTTTCCTTTGCGTTTTGCGATTGACCCGGCACGGTGAGTCTTGCCCAGCTGCTGAGGAGGCAACTCAGAGAGAGGGAGAGGCACAGGCTGAGAAATTCCCTGATCATAAAGTTCCCCCGCAATTACAATCTGAAATAAAACACGTTTCAAATATTATGTAAAATCCAGCTATCTCTGCTTTTTCTAGCTTTTAAATGGAGCAATATTAGTGGTGCTGGAGGAGTTGTGGGGAAAATTGTGGGAAATTTCGGTTCTCAGTTCCAAGCAGGTTGTCCTGTGGTAATAACCCTGCTTTCTGTAGGGTTGTGCAGGACACAGCTGCAGCCTGGGTGACACTGTGACCCGGACTGTGGTGGGGAGCTCTCTTGTACAGAGTAGAGAGTCCTCGAACTGCTGTTCTTCTTTTCAGCATTTTAATTAAACCACAAAAGCAACTGCTGTCAGGACAAAAGCCATTCCCTACCTCACTCTGACACATGGTATTAAAATACATTTGAATGGATACATTTCCTGGTGTTCTGCAATTGCTCAAGGCAGACCTGAATAATGTTGTGTATAGCCTTACTGCTCTCTTGGCCAAAAAAAGAGAGTATGATCACAAGAGCTCTGTTGTTTCTCTCTCCAGTGAACACAGAGGTTTGGTCAAGCACACAGGAGGCTGTCACTGTGGAGCCGTCCGCTTTGAGGTCTGGGCTTCACCACATCTGCACGTGTTCAACTGCAAGTGAGTTGTTTTGTTTCCCTGTTCTCATACGTGAATATCAGCTTGTCTGCTTTTGCAGCCTCAGAGCTAAAAGATGAGACAGCTGCAGAACACCCTCTGAGCTGTTTCCATCGGGTTTACCCTTAATTACGTCCTGATCCAATGTGAGATCAACACCAGGGATTTCAGGTGCTGCTTCTCTGGGCAGGACTTCAGGTCTCACAGCCATGCTCATGCAGAAAGTGTCAGGAGAGATCTAGTGAGTGCAGGTGCTCAGCCATCTGCTTTATATTTCCTCTCAGTCAGTGGGCTCAGAGCCCATTGATCCTTTTTTAACTTGGTCTTCTCAAGTGACATTACATCTCTGACCACATGTGCCTCAAACTAAAACACTCTCTGATTTCATTAGTGATCTCCCTTTGCCTGCAAGCAGTTTGCTCATGGGTGAACTTCTGAACTTTGCTTTCTTGTTTGCATAGTAATTAACGTTGGCAAACTTGGCCAAGCATGGTCTGAAAGATTTTTCAGGGCTAGAGTATGTCCTTAAAGAGCTGTGTATGTGAAGAATATAATGTTTGGTGTAAGAAGACACCTTATGGGGGTACCTGTGTAGGGTCAGTCTGTTCCATGGGTGTGCTCAGCCAAACACTACTGACACCACGAGTCCACTTTCACCACTTACCTCTGTGAAGCCACCCAGGAGCCATTCTAACTGTCAGTGGAGTTTCTGTTGTCAAGAGGTCCCTGCAAGATCTGACTGCTGCACTACAACTTGTCCACTGCTTCCAGAAAGGTCTGCTTTTTCTTTTACAGTTGCAGCATTTGCACAAAGAAACAGAACAGACACTTCATTGTCCCAGCGTCGCGTTTCAAGCTGCTGCAGGTAAACACAGTAAGAGCGTGGCCATGAGCTTGAGCAGTATAACCCAGTGTCAGCCTGGATCCAAGCAACACCCATTTTTCTATCTTAAGTTCGTGTGTGGCTGTTGGGGGGAAATGGCTGAATTTTGTCCTGTCTGGGGTGGGTGTGTTAGTGCATCTTATTTGGTGAGGTGATGTTGGAGCTCTTGCAGTTCTGAGGCTTGACTGTTATGGACATGTTTACATACAGAGCACAGGGGCTTAGAAAAGGAGCATGAATGCAGAACTCTGTTTATCAAGATAGGAAGGTGGTATTTTAAATTTTACATTTCTTAGCTATAGGCCTAAAGTAATTTATCCATGTATTCATATAGAAAACTTATTTATATAGAAAACTGCTTTTCATTGGCTTAGGGTGCTGATAATTTGACAACATACACCTTCAACACACACCGTGCCCAGCACACGTTCTGCAAGACCTGTGGTGTCCAGAGCTTTTATACTCCTCGTTCCAACCCAGATGGTTATGGTAAGTACAAAGAGGAAGCTGTGGTAACCAAACTTAACCACCAAGCAGCCCTTGGGTAAAGCCTCCATTAGATGCCAACATGACAGCAGGGAGCAGCATGTGTCTTAAGAGTTTGTCCCTAAAGTGTTAAACATCTGGAACTGCAGCCTGAACCTGTAGCTCCCCCATAAGAAAGTCTTACCTGTGATGTGTGGGCTCGTGCCTGGGACAGGATTCTCATCCAGGCTCCTCATCCTTACAGCAATAGCATTTATATTCCCTGAGATGCCCCATCCACGGAGTGGTGCAGGCATCTCCCTCATTTTCTGAGAAGCAGGTTTCTGTGTGCTCTGTCTTTCTTCAGGAATAGCTCCCCATTGCCTGGATGATGGCACCGTGCAGACCATTGTCACAGAGGATATCAATGGCAAGGAATGGGAGAAAGCAGTGGGGGAGCATAAGACCATCAGAGACATGTCAAAACCTTGACACAGCCTTCCAGCAACTGAACTTGGAGCACTGCTGTGGAACTGCAGTCTGGGATTTCCTGGGTGATGGATGGTAAAATCAATTTCTACACTACTGTTATCTGTTCTCTGTTTCTTAAATAAATCTTTCTATGTTGATTGTCTCATTCCTTTGTGACTTTCAGTTGACAAACTGCCTCTGCTCTGTAAACCACTCCAGGGTTGCTAGTTTGGCACTTTGCCTCTAGCTGTGCTAAAGTTTAAGACCTAGTTACATAAAAGACCTGGTTACAGTCTGGGTCTCTTGCACCTCATTCCTACGTCCTGCTGAGACTCTTGTGAGCTGATCTTGAGCCCCGTGTTCTGAAGCAAGAAAAAATGCTCATGTTTCGGGAGGGACACTGAGAAGGTGGAGCCTGCAACACAATATGTATAAAAGAAGCAGCAGCAGCAGCAAAGATCAGTGCAATTAGAGAAATTTGTATTATTTCTGATGTTTTATTCAAAAGCTTGGGCTTTTTAAAGTTCTGACTGAATAAGAAAGGTCTTTGTAGATCTGGTATCTGTGGAGAGAGTGTGTTCTTTGAAAAGTTCCTTCTGATATCTCGATTTTATAAAAGCACCAAGAGATAGTTGCCAAGCAGTCCTTGCAGCTGTATCTTTTTGGGGAAATAGTTTGTGCCATATCTTCTCCAATGCAGAATACTCCTGCATTCAACTCCTAATTAAGTTAATCCAAATATCTCATCCTACTTAAGCTTCTACAGTGAGAAAACAGAGTAGCTGTTAAACCCTGTTCATCTCAAGGTATTGGGCAACAAGATACTCAGAAGGAAGTTCACATGCCTGGTTTCTGTAGCCTGGAGAATGCTACACAAAGAGCATCCCGTCCTCTCCAGCACATAACACAGGAGTTTCCTTTAGTCCTGAGCCTGGCATGGTCCTTTTTTTTTTTGGTCATTCTTTTCTCCTGGAGTTGTGAGCCACATCCTGCTACAGGAGGCGCAGTGAATTGACCACCATGTACCGTGAGAAGAGCAGGTAGAGGCGACGGAACCAGAGGAGTTGGCTGCGATGGCACCGCATGGCCCTCTAGAAGGAAAAAGAGTGGAGAGAGCATTACAAGAACCTTCCAGGCCTTGTGTGAGGGCAGTTTCCTAGGCCTCCTGTGAGGATCACTGCCAATTTGTAGGACAGTTTTCAGTGAACAGTGCGAGGTGGGAGGCTGCCTAATCCACGGGGCCTCTGTGCCCCTGTGTTGCTGGTGTTGTGCTGGCTGATGTTCAGAGGGTCCTGCTAGAAAGGACATTATCAGCTGCAGATTGGTGCTGAGACAGTGTATTTATCACTTATAACTCCTCCTCCCCATGTGATCTCATGCCTGAGTGTTCACATGCTGGGGAAGCAGGAACCTGATAGGTGAGTATCTGGGAACATCCCTGCATTTGCTTCCGACCACACACTGACAGCTGAAACCGAATATTTACAGTGCATCAGCCCAGAAAGGTCAGGTTTCAGAAACAAAAAACACATGGAAATAACAACACCACCTCTATCTGAGCAGTTTCCATGTGTAACTCTCCCTTTTAGCAGCCTCAAAAGCAGAAAAGTTCTGCAATCTGTGAATTAACAGCACTGTTTTCTGGGCAAACATTTCCATGCTATGCAAGGGGAGCTAATCAGATTCTGATACAGGGAACTGTGGACAAATGTGTGAGATCTCATGCAGCAAAATAAAAAATGCATAGCAAAGAAGGGAACTCTTTGGACCACAAGTTGACAGGCTGTTTCTGTCTTTAGTTAGAGCTGTGGTCCAAGGATGCTGTTCCTGACATGGAGTCATGCCAATCTTTGACAGGCCACTCATATATTGGGAATATTACGTTGGATCCAGTCTCCTCTGAAATGTATCCTGCATCCTGGATGCAGTGTAAAACTCAGTGCTCTGTGACTACTGGACACCTCTGAGCTGGAAATCAGCTCAGCCCCATCCTGTCACACAGCACACGAGGTCACCTGTCTTGTCTATGTTTTACAAGTCACTGCAGACATTCCTTAGTGACATTTATAACCCACTTATGAAATTCCCCGTGAATGTGACACTTCTGACTAAAGTCTTCACAGTGATGATGAGCCATTCAAGCAGGTTAAGCAGGTGCCACACGTCTCACCTTGGCTTGCTCAGTCTCCTCCTCTGTGAGGATGAACAGGGCATCCCTGGGCAGGAGGCAGGAAATGGGCACATCCAGGAAGGAAATGTACTTCCTCAAGAGATTCACTGACTCGAGCACGAGCACACGGCACCCTGCACAGAGAAAAGGGGAATTATTTCAAAACAACAGTATTGTAAGGTGCCCTTCTCTCCAGGCTCAGCAGGTCTTTGCAGGCTCCCATGTGCTGCTGGATTTGGGATCCTGTTGCAAAAGGGGAGCAACTTTTCCTGATGCTTCCACCAGGATCTCTTTGTGCCCAGGGCATGTTTATGACCATTTGTACCGGTTCTTATTCAGTATATGACTATTTGTACTGGTTCTTGTTTTGTACAGTCTGTTGAAAGCAAAACTAGCTTTGACTACCACAAAAACTGGGGTTTTTTTCTGCTTATAATTAAATTATTCCTACATAATGATGATTCTCTGAATGCTAGCACTGTAGCACATAATGGAAATTTTAAAACAGCAGTCTCTGGTTCAGCTACCAAAATGAAATTTCACCTTTCTGCTCCAATTCTTAGCTACAGAATAAATATTTACATGTCTCGGGAATGGCAGTATCAAATATTAACTCAGGCAAGCAGTTACACTTTAACAGAGTTCCAGAATACAGTGCTCAGATGTTTGTGATGAAGCAGAGGAAGGTAAAATGTATAAAGATTCTGCTGGTTTGGAAGCTTTTTTTTTTTCTGTTTTAAAGATCCCCTTGAACTCCAAAGTTAATTGCTATTTTTTTTACTATGGCTAAATTGTCTTTACTGATGAGCTCAGAGCTACTGATGGTCCCATTTAGAGCCTGTAGCTCTCAAAGGAGCTGCTTTGGGATTTCCTGGGGCTTGGAAGCTGCTGTGATTATGCTCCACACTTCACTAATTGTATTAAAGTTTGACAGAAGAGGCCAAAGTAACAGTTTACACAGGTGGTCAGAGACACAATTCGATTCACAATTAGATCTTCTTCAGTGTGCCCTGAAACAGTGACATTACTCAAAGGAGACACAAGACAAAGCTGAGCTGCTGCAGAGGCTCCTGATGCACCATTTCAGGGTGTGAAGCCTGTGCTCAAGTCTAATAACTGCTTGAGCTGGTGGTGCTCAAATGCCTTTCAGCCCTACAATGTCAGCAGGACTCGTGTCCCTCTAAGGGAAAAGATTCTTCAGGACAGGAGCAGGAACAAAGAACTTTTCCCTACTTTGGACATTTGGTAGATCCCTCAGTTTAACCACTACCAAGCCTGAGACAGGAAGGGAAAACTTGTTGCTCTACAATTTCCTGGAGACACAGGGGAAGCTCCCACAAGTCTCCAGGGTAGAGTCTGACACTCCAAGATGCCCCACCAGCACCATTCCTTTCCCAGCCAGGGGGTTGTGACACACTGAACCCAGGGACAAACAGCACACACGGGACCATCCTGACAAATCCCCTCACAAGTGATTTGTGTCCCAGCCTCTTCCTGACTTATTTCACTGCAAAGAAAAGACTTGCTTTTACTCCAGTCAAAGCCTGCAAGGGCAGGACATGGCAGCCCCCATAGACTCCCTCCAGCACATCTCTGAGATCTTTAAATTCCTTTCTTTCTTTTTTCTCCTTCAAGAGAAGATTGTTCCAACTTCTCAATAGCTTTTTCCACTCTCCAAGGAAAAACTGGTAACTCCTTATTTCAGCGTCTCAGAGGGCTCCAGGGCCATGCTCCCTTTCCATTGATCCTGGCACGTGACTCCCCAGCAGGACGGACAGAGCACTCAAAGGAGTTCTTTTCTCCCTGTGGGCAGCGATGGGCAGGGGTAGAGGCCTCAAGGAAAACCACTGGCATTTCTATCCAGATAAAAGCTGACAGGAGTCTGTGCTGTGCCAGGACCTGGAGGAAAAGCCCTCCTGGAACTCCTGGCGTCGCTCAGGGAGCCGCCGGGAGATGGCGGTGTCCGCCGGCTGCGGGAGCGGGACCCGCAGCGCTGCCCGCGGCCCGGCCCGGCCCGGCTCAGACCCCTCTGCCTCGAACACCCTCCTGCCTTAACTGTGCCACTGCCGTGTGCCCACCCCCGTCCTCCCGCAGCCTCAGCCCCCAGCCCTGCAAGGTCACGGTGCTCCTGTGAGCAGCAGCTGTGCGATGAGCTCTGCCAAGCTCCCCGCGGGGTCCCCCGGACGTGCGGGAATGCGGGGAGCTGTGGGACCAGCACGGATGGCTTGTGCCACTTCCTGACCGCGAGCTTAAACCCCGTCTCGCTCCCGGCCCACCCGGACAAGTGACAGCAGAGCATTGCTGTTTGGCTGCCATCGGTCTCAGCTGCTCCTGCAAAGGATGCTCTGCAGGGACAAGTGCTGCACTTGCTCACTAACAGAAGTGCCCTGAGGGTTCTTCTACTCCCACTACAGAATTTCTTGTTTCCAAACTTGGAAGGAAACTTGTGATGTGCCACGAGTGGGGGAACTCCTCTTCCCCCTTCTCTGCAGAGACCCTCTGGGCTGCTGCTGTGGGTAGTTTGAGAGACAAGAATTAGTGCTGCACTGTGGCAGAGGAAAGGAATAGATATGGATCCTCTTGCTCTTGTCCTCAGCATTCCCACTGGCCACCTGTTTGCTTTTCAAACAAGGGAAGACAAGGCTACAGCAAGCACGGGGCAATGGATCTTTCCTTTCCTGGATGGTTGTTAATGGACTCTGCCAATGCCATGTGAATTCCTACCCACA